AGCAGTAGGTAATTTACCTATCCATCCTGTCCAGTCACTCAATACGATAATGGCTCATCTTGGACTTTAATGTTTTCTCTCTCACACTATCTTTTTACACCATTAGTATTTAGAAATCTATTAATTTCTATTTGAAACATAATTAAAAACTGAGCTTCCACTGCCTTCTTGGGTAGAGAACTCAAGATTCACAACCCTCCAGGGAAAAAGAATTCTCCTCATCCTGGTCCCAAGTGATTTTCCCTTATTTTAAAATTGTGGCCTCTAGTTCTAGACTCCCCAAACCAGAGTAAATATCTTACCTGCATCTGCCCTGTCTATCCCTTTAAGTATTTTGCAGATGGATAAATGGATCATAGTTTTGATGCTGAAGGAGAGGTGGAGTTGGAGATGAATGAGAAGATCATATGGGGGTGGCATGGTGACATCGAGTTCAGAGTGGAGCCAAATATTAAGGATCTTCATCTCTGAGCTAAGCAAATATGAAAAGGTTACAACTTATCTCCATTTATTATCTGTACAAATTGTCCTCAATAGATTGAATGGCTCACATTTATTGGAATGATACCAGCTTTTGATGGGACTCCAAGGTGCCAAGTTTAAACATTTAACTGAAACTATCAGTACTGACTGCAAAGTAGGCTGTCCAAAGCAGAATGCTGATACTACCATGTACCTTGTTGTACCAGGCAATATTGAATGTGATCTGACATCTCCCAGAATGAATATTCCTCCTTGAGCTTTGGTTTAATACAAATTACCAACCATTTGCAACAAACAATCAAATAGTCTCCACAATCACTCTTTCTGTGGTGCCCACAAACTATAAATTCTAGCTTCACAACTTCCCACGATGGGACCTGAACATTCAACCACAATTGTTTGTCCCCTACTCTTACCACTGGAGCATGAGAAATTATCAAAAAACCCATCAGCATTTGAGGGTCAGGGCAGAAGTGGCGGCATATTTCAATGTACTTAAATTAGATAAACAGATTTGGGTAGGGTGGGCACTAGATCAAGAGAAATGCATATTATTTAGTGTGAGAACCCTGAACAAGGCAACATGATCTTAAAATTATATCCAGGACCCTTTAGGAATCAGGAAACACTTTCACACAAAAGGCAACAGAAGTACGAAACTTTCCCAAAGCTATCAAAATGACTTTCAAAAATGAGATCAATAGAATTATATTGGATAGGAATATCGAGTGAAATGATAAGGCATGGATTGGCTGTAATTTACCAAATGGTGGTGGATCAGGTTCAAGGGGCTTAACAACTACTTGCATTCCCATGTTCTGGAGCTGAATTTCACTTCTGGGATTTAAAATCAAGTCTAACCTGCACTCACTTGCCTCAAGGCTCCTTTTCACTTGTTCAGTGTATATGGTGGTGAAATTGGAGTTTTAATCCAGTTACTAACTGGTAAAGACCTCCACCAGGGTTTCCCAAAGTGAGGTTAGCAAGCTGAACTTTTAGAAGATCTCCAAGGCAACGACGGCCACCTTCTGCCTACTCTAATCGGTCTTCTTTCCCTCCCTCTTCACTCAACACTGGGTCACTGACGTTTTCAATCCTCAAAAATGGGATCACAGAGAGAAAAAGTACATAAAGTACTGACTCATTCTAATAGCAATCTAGTGTAATATCAGTGCTCTAGCAATCCAGAGGATGAGGTAAATCCTCTGAGATATAAATTGAAATCCCACCATGGCAGTTGGTGGAATTTAAATTCTGAAAACGAATTTCATGTCACTATTTCTGAAACTATCATTGATTGTCATTGAAACCCTTCTAGCTGTCTAATGCCCTCTGGGGAGGGAAATCTGCTGTCCTAACCCAGCACGGTCTACATCTGATTCCAGAACCATAGCAATGTGATGGACTCTTAACTTCCCATTTAAAATGGCCAAGCATGTCTCTCAGTTCAAAGGCAATTAGGGACAGGCAAACAATTTTAGCCTTGCCTACTATGTCCATGAAAGAATAAAGTGTAACTATGCAGCACTTGATTGAGCAGCAGGTACTGCACAATTAGAAAATGATGTTTTCCAGCATTGGTATGTTTCAACTCCAAGCAAAATGACTGACTTTGGTATCACTGAAGAAAACATGTTTTTCAGATAGATCCCTAGAGAAAGGCAAAGAGCTCTACAAGCATCAACTCTATCCATTAATCTCTTCCAGTTTCAAAGAAATTCTTAACTTCTAAAATCCACATAACTTTCTGAGGTGGCTGGTTTGATTTGTCATGAAGTTGACGGGAGATCCTGCTTCAGATCCTTTGATTCTGGGGTTGAGGGAGTCAAAACTCACACCAGCACAGTTCTACCCACCCTGATGACAAATCAAACAAGTCTCACAGTTCAGATCAACATCAAGCAGTTTGCCACTGCCTGTTCTATCTGGTTAATATTTGCACATCCCTCATGTCTCCAACTCCTTGGCATAACCAATTAGTCCCAATCTAAGGTAGGCTTTAATTGGAGCCTGTAGCAGGAAATGCTACGGTCTCCAAATCAAGAGTAAACAGTACACACTGATACTCAAGACCTATGCAGACAAAAATAACTAGGTCACTCAATAATAAACTCACTCACTGCGAGTACAATGAGGTTCTTTTGAAGAACTAGCTATTTTTCAGGTAAGTTTGCTTTGTACTACTAGTAACCTCAAATTAAGACCCACAAGTTGCACTTTCCTTCCTGTTTTACCACATAATATAGCCTGGCACTAGACACCAATTGGACTGAAAGTGCAAGTTCAATGCCACCTTCAGTGGCAGATTGCTGTACCCATGAGTACAGTCCTTGCATTTGAGGCTCTAATGGAGACCCAGAGATTAGGCAGGTGTGTAAGAAGATATGCAATTAAACTCCAAATATCTGACAGGATAAGAAGGACAAGGACCAACTGTTTGAAAATAATTTATTGTCCAACAGTTGCATGACAAATTCTTCCAAAAGAAACCAAATGTTTCAGCTTTATAATCACAGGGTGAATGTGTTGCAAGTAATGAAGCACAAACATTTGAATTTAAGTCAGGAATTCTCGGGTTGCAGAGTAATCAAGTTTGTAATGAACTACTATGAAGAATAACAGAAGTTTAATCACATGAAAAGAAATCCTGTTGAATGTAATAATAGACACTGCCTGCTCCCTTCTGGATAAGCCAGTGGCCTTCTTTATGTTCAATTATTCATGAAAGGCGACTGTAAACACTTCCAATTGAGACTGAGATGATGTCTCTGCTCTGAAGTCACCAACTCATTCCAGTACAGGATGCTGGAGTCCTACAATTTCACATAAGTGCCCCTTTCATAAGTGTGGGAAGTTATCACCAAGGTATTCAACAGTGGAAAACCTCACCATTGTGTTTTTTGTTGGGGGGGGGGGGGTGCAGTGGGTAAGGTAAGGCAAGGCAGCGTTGAGATGTAGAATAGTCAAAGGAGCACGAAAAAGGAAAGTTAACAAAAGGGTGATTTCTATGCTCTTCCTAATTTGGTATTGCCATGTCAAGATTTGATGCAATGCTGCAAAGAGACTGCCAATGAAACCAACAGAACACGCAAAAAAAAACCTTGCACCATGACGCATTAAGTTGCATAAAACACAGGACAACTTGTGTACCTATCAGAACAAACAATAAAACATGCAAATCACAACAGATGAGTGCTAGAAATTCTTAGAAATCAAACCACACAACCATAGCCAGGCACAGTGTTAGTTTCATCTTCCTGGATAATGTGGTTATACTTTTATCGTTTGGAGTAAGTTCTAAACTGGATTTGCATGTCTTCAACTTAAAGAAATAACCTAAAGAAAACAGAAAAGAGTAGTCTATGCTACAATTAAGTTGAAAGCTTTTTAAAAAAAAAATTAGTATTTCAATGATAGTAGGAACTGCCGATGCTGGAGAATCTGAGATAACAAGGTGTAGAGCTGGATGAACACAGCAGGCCAAGCAGCATCAAAGGAGCAGGAAGGCTGACGTTTCGGGTCGAGACCCTTCTTCAGAAATGGGGGAGGGCAAGGGGATTCTGAAATAAATAGGGAGAGAGGGGGAGGCGGATAGAAGATGGATAAAGGAGAAGATAGGTGGAGAGGCGACAGACAGGTCAAAAGAGGCGGGGTTGGAGCCAGTAAAGGTGAATGTAGGTGGGGAGTTAGGGAGGGGATAGGTTGGTCCACGGAGGATGGACAGGTCAAGGAGTCGGGATGAGGTTAGTGGGTAGGAGATGGGGGTGGGGCTTGAGGTGGGAGGAATGGTTAGGGAGGCGGGGATGAACTGGGCTGGTTTTGGGATGCGGTCAGTGGAGGGGAGATTTTGAAGCTTGTGAAGTATACATGGGGAACCCTGCAGCCCAAGGGTATCAAAGCGAAATATGAGATGCTGTTCCTGCAGCTTTCGGGTGGCATCATTGTGGCAATGCAGGAATAGTATTTCATAAATGCTTTCATAAACTCAGCAGGTCCCAAATTGCCTCACGGTCATTGAAGCACTTTTGAAGTGTTATAATGTAGGAAGTGCACCAACCAGTTTCTGAATAGCAAGCAGCAATGTGTAACACACAGTATTAGGCAGGGCACCAAAAGGAACATAGCCACTTTTTTTTTTGCATAGCACCATAGGACCTTGAAATCTCTGGAGCAGGACTTTGTCTGTCACCTGAATGTGAGCAGTTAAGAATACTACTCCCGATGCACCATAGCCATCCCAAAGGAAGCTTTGCACTTTCACATCTCTCTGCAATACTTTAAAACTCTTTACATTCAGTGAGTTATTTTGATAATCAATTGCTGTGTTGTGACAAGTAATGGCAGCCACTGTGTGCACAGGAAGAAGCTATATGACAAATTGCCAGTTAATTAATTTGCTTTTCCTCTCTTCTCCCGTTCCTCAGTATATTTTTTTCCATACCACAAAATTTAGCCAAGATACTGGATGAAAACTCCTCCCTCCCTCCCTCATCCCCATTCTTTTTCAAATACTGCAATGGGATCTTTAACATTCTTCTGAGGCAGCTGAGGAAGGCTTTCTCAATAAGGGATGTCACAATAAATGGGATGGCACAAGAAAAGTGGCTAGAGTGACGCAGAAGAGGAATCGTTGTTGCTATGGGACAGGTTCTCGGCATGAGTCTGCCCCTCCAGAAAAGATGGAGATTACTGGGACATGGGAAGGGACAAAAAGAGATTGTTTCTGGCCAGATGGTTTGGCTCTTATTTACATTACAAACTCCAACCAAAATTGTGCGAGCACACCTTCATACAGTTGCATTTCTCCCCCTCCCAAGCAAAAGGGGAGAGTCTGCGCACACACACACGCTTGACCCAAACGCCAGGAATGTTTACATGGCAGAAACCCAAGACTGCAATGTTTCACACTGAAGTTTTCAGATGAGTTTTTAAGCTGAAGAATTACTTAAATACGGTAGCAGTGATATTATATCTGTTAGTTTTCACATATTTTGAAGCCCTTTGCAGCCAACGAAACAAGGAGCGAAACTAAAACATAGAATATGCATGTCTATGAACCTGTTGACAGTTAAGAGAAAATAAGTTAAATTCAAGGCAAAAGAAGTTTAAAGAAGGAAATGGAGAAACTGGGATTATAGAACTCTAATGAGCTAATAATGAAGCCAAGCAGTTTCCAGTTGACTGAAATGCCCATCGTTAGTCCACAAAACAGTGGCATTAAAGTGCAGTTACAAAAAATAGTATCAAGCAAAGCCAATCTCCACACCCTCCAAAACCAGCAGATCCTCATCCACTGCGTGTTAGTTTAACATTTACTGAAGCAACTGGACCAGTACACTTACTGCTTTCTGCATCGTGCTTTGTTAGTCTGAATTATACTGTTAAGACAGCCTCGAAGTAGACATTTTGTATAGAACTCCTCTCATATGAGATCATCAATGGGGAATAATACCCACAAACCACTGCCCCAATGATGTCACAGGGCGGAGCAAATAATCTGCCTCCATTTAAACTGCAATTCCTTTCAACATAAGCAGAGTGGAGAATAACGACGCTGTGCTTCTGTTTTGCATTAATTTGCTCTCAGAGTTTGGAGGTTGAAAGTGATCTCAGCACCACAGAGATTGAAAGGGAAGGACGAATTTAGAAGACACACATTAAAAGTAGAAAATAAGGTAACATTCTGGAGAAACATACAGGGCTTAAACTTATCTAAAAATTCAAACATCAAGACAAGAGTGAAATAATTGGCAGCATTGGCCTGGTTGGATGAGGGTAAAGCGTGGCTACAAAATGCAAGATTCCCCAATTACGCCCAACTATTTACCTCAGGAATTACCGCAGGACAGAAAAATATTTCTCCCTTCCCCATACAACTGCCTGCTTTCTTCAAGCAATTTTATAGTTGCCCACCATGTACAGCATTGGGACTGTTCTAGGTCTGAATTTCTATCTAGGTCTCAGGGATGTAAGAATAGCACACGATGCGACATCCATTCTCCTTTATTATGTTCAGACACCCTAGGTGGCGAACTACACCATTTTGCATAGCACTGAGCCACACATTACGGGAAGTTCCGATGAAGAACTCCAGACATAAGCTGAATTAGTGGATCTCAGTCTGTGACCATTAGCTGCTGCATTCGATCAATTGCATTGGTAAAGATCACAGGGGTGTGGGAGAACTAACCGTGTGTGGCATTAGTTAGTAGCTGCAAAGACTTGAGAACAATGAAACCAAGGGAATGCATTCATGACTTCAAGTGTTTAGACTGCCGCAAATCTTCATCTTTGCTGGTGATTCCTATAGCTGAAGAATACATGCTCAGATCATTTACTGTCCTTATGAAGATCAGTGGGCCAGTATTGGTCATCCATGTATCGACTGATTTCAGAGTTTGTTTCAGAAGCCACTTCTTCGTTTGCCATCGATGACTGATCGCACAGTTTCTGTTCCCACTGGCTCTCCACTTGTTGATACAACTCCATCGAGGTGCAGGCATCCTCAACAGAACAGTGCCCATCTCTACCAACCTGCCACAACAAGAACAAATGACGGCAAACCAAGGAGAAAATCATTTCCCTAACTCCATTCCTAATAAAATCACCCACCTCTGCCCCCAAAGAGCACAGATCCACAACTTCAAACAAAATCCACCACATACATTACCTTATCCAAAGGCTCAATTCACATACATAAGGTTTGAGAAGTGGCAGCAGGCACTTCAACTGTGAGGGGCACCACTGTAAAATCTTAGACTGTTCTCACCAGACACCCACAACTCTACAGATACCAGCAGCAGGAATGGAAGCCCCCTTGCCTGACACACCCAGGTTTTAACTTAATCAGGAAGGGAGTCAGGTAAACATCCTGCAGAAGTCATGGCTGAATGGATCAGATCTCCCAATGGAGCAAAAATGCAGATATGTTATCAACAAGCTCTCTAATTTTCTTTCTGGCTGTATAGGCCTCTGAAGTCTGTGCTTGGCAGCAACCTCCGTAACCAGAAGTTAAAGCTGCGATTGGAGCGCTGGATGCCTATCGTGGATCTTTGGACCTGCTGCGCCTGTGTGTGCAACCGCGCAGCTTAGAGGGAATGTTGCATGTTACGTAGGGCCAGTAAGTTTCCCATGCGTTCTATCGATAACACTCGTCTCTGAGTTTGTAATATGTGTTCGAGCCCCACTCTAGGATTGGAATACAAAATCAAGGCCCACATTTCAGTGCAGTAGCAGAGATAATCCATGTTGGAGGTGATGGAATTTTATTGGTGGGTTTGGGAGAGAGAAAGAGATGAGAAGTTAGAATGAAACCTTGTCTAGTTGTTGAGGTGGATGTACTGTCTGGCAATTGCATTTACCCAACTGCACTTCAACAATAACCTACTGCAAAAAGACCAGACTAAGATTTTGCAAGCACAACGTAAATGCAAGGTTTCGGTAAAGTCTTGACAAGATCATACCCAAAATTTTGGGCTTCTTAAGGAAGGGTATACTTATCATAGAAAGTGTGCAATGAAACTCATCCTTGGGATTGTCCTATGAGGAGAGATTGAGAAGACTAGACCTGTATTCTCTAGAATTTAGAAGAATGAGAAGTGATCTAACTGAAGTATACAAAATTCTTACATGATTTAACAGGGTAGATGCTGGAAGCATGCTTCCCCAGGCTGGAGGGATCTAGAACAAGGGGACACTTTCAGAAGAGGCAGGCAACTCAGGATAAAGAGAAGAAGAAGAATTTCTCCACTCAGAGGTGGTGGACCTTTAGAATTTTCTATCCCAAAGGCCAGTGAAGTAATTCAATACAGTCATTGAGTCCCACCAAGATAAATCAATAGACTTCTAAACTTTAAAGTCTTCAAGGGATATGGGGTTACTGCAGGAAAATGGTGCCAAGTTGGAAAATCAGCCATGACTGAGGGACCAAATAGCCTTTTCCTGTTTCCAATATTCCTGCAGAATTTTGTAATCAATGCACATGCTGGGGGAGTATAGCTAAGGCAGAACCCAAGGTTTACTGCCACCTGGATGTTTTGTGTTCCAGCTCTGATGCACCCTCAGTCCCACATTGTGCAACAGAACTCCCAGAGTAAAAGTATAGTCAGTTCATATACTCACCTGGATGCTTTTACCCAAAAGTTGCTTCGCCAGATTCTTCAGGGATACGGATTCTCTTTCAGGAAAGCCAGCCTTCCGCTTCAACAAAGGGATCTTACTCGTGTCCCTTACCAGAGATGTCGGATGAAAATACTTCAATGCTTTAAAGTCATTGTGCAATGCGTGGCCCACGACAATTTTACCCTTCAGTATCTTCAAAATCTAAATGAAAGCACAAATTTAACATGTTAATTACCTTTCAGATTTACTAACCCTGCTTGCACCCCACCCCTGTCATGCACCATTCCAACTGAGATCACAAAGACCCAGGACCAAAAGTAGGCCACGCAATCCATTGAGTCTGTTCCACCATTCAGTGACATTATGGCTGATTTGATAATCCTCAACTCTACTTTCCTGCCTTTCCCCCCATACCCCCGATTCACTCCCTCAGAGAAGAAATTCATCCTCATTGGTCTTAAACGGGTGATCCCTTACTCAGCAATTATAATGTGGAGGTGCCATGTTGGACTGGGGTGGACAAAGTCAGAATCACACAACACCAGGTTATAGTCCAACAGGTCTATTTGAAATTACAACCTTTCTGAGCGCTGAAGAAGGAGCAGTGCTCCAAAAGCTGTGATTTCAAATAAACTTGTTGGACTATACCCTGGTGTGGTGTAACTTTGGACTTCAGCGATTATACACTTTTGTCTTGGATTGTCCCAAAACGGGGAACAACATCTCCACATCTACTCTGTCAAGTCCCGCTAAGAAGTTTGGGCACACGATGGCTATTCCTGCATTGTCACTAGGTGAAAAATCCTGGAATTCTCTATCTAATAACACTATAGGAGTCCTTTCACCATGCAGACAACAGTTCAAGGCAGAGGCTGATCTTCCCAAGGGGAATAAATAGATATTGTGAGTGACATCCCCCAGAATGAATTTGCTTTTAAATTGTATCCATGCAGATGTATCTGTGTGACACTAACATTCAACCATAATCATCAGACCTGGGCAAAACCCCTGCAGGCTAAAAATGCCCGGCCCTAATCACGTCCTCTTCCTTCACTGGAGCTGTACTCCAATTCTGCCTCACTTACAAGGGAAGTCACTATAAATGGGAGGTGATGGCCTAGTGGTATTATCGCTGGACTGTTAATCCAGAGACCCAGATAATGTTCTGGGGACCCAGGTTCGAATCCCACCATGGCAGATGATAGAATTTCAATTCAGTAAAATATCTGGAGTTAAAAATCTAATGATGACCATGAATCCATTGTTGATTGTCAAGAAAAACCCATCTGGTTCATAATGTACTTTAGGGAAGGAAACTGCCATCCTTTCCCAGTCTGGCCTACATGTGACTCCAGACCCACAGCAACGTGGTTGACTCTGAAGCCCCTGTGGGCAATTAGGGACGGGCACTAAATGCTGTCTAGCCAGCGACACCCTCATCCCGTTAATGAATAAAAGAAAATGACTCAAATATAAAACCCCTCTAAACTTGCAAACTGTTAAGGTAGTACTGACACCAAATATAACTTTTCTTAATGAGATGCAAGGTTTAATTGTTTTACGGGAGTGGTGTCTCTGCAGTTGATGGTTGCCTGTTAGTCACATTGGAGCAGGTTTACTGGTTTGACTAAAATACGTACATTAAATCTGTTTCTTACTCTCTCCTCGTGGATGATGCCTGAGCTGGTGAGTTTTTGCAACTTTTTTGTTTTTATGTCATATTTTGATAACAAGTTCTATTACATCATTAGATATGGTTGAACCAAACAGTATTTCTTGCAGTTTATTGGAATTTAATCATCTCTCAGAATCCATGGGAAATTGCAATTCTCAAATGTTCTCCAGTAAAGGAACCCCCTTTTCAAACTGGTTCACAATCATTCAAACATCTATTTCAATCCCCCTACCCTACAACATCTAAAGTACAAATTGTGAGCATCACAAAGATACGAAAGTGCAGCACATACAGATTGTTTCAATAATGCTTCCGCTTCAAATACTTACTGCCAGATATCAGTGAAATGGATGTGTCTACTTCACACTGCAGGACCTGCCCATCATGGCTGGGACTGTGATTACACCAAACACATTAGGGAAGAAACAGGGTGAGCAGCAGCATTTCTGTGATCACCGCTCACTGCTTCAGCTTTGATCACATGCCCCAGGGAACTGCAGGTCTGTAGACCCAGCAATTTACAATCAGAGCCTACAAACAACGTGACAATGAGTAGATACTGTTGCACAGTAATGCTAATCAAGGGATAAAAATTGGTCAAGACACTGGGGTCAAGTTGGTCAAAAAATGGTTAAGACACACCTCGTGTTCTGCAAAGTAGTGTTCTGGGATTCTCTGCATACAATCCCGCACCTCAAAACCAGAAGGGATCTCGGTGTAATGTCTTACTTGAAAGACAGGTCGTCTTTCAGCACTGCATAAAGCATGTTAGGCCAGAGGGAGTGAGTGATGAATTCATTAATTCCAGACTAAGGGATAATGGGTATTAAGTGAATGCAACATTCAAGATATTTAATACACCCACCTCCCTCCGAGCAACATTAAACTCAATTGCGTTCACCATATGCTGTTTTCGTATGCCACTCCAGCGGGTCCGATAATCTGTGATGGGTTGTTTAGGCTTCACATACTTGTCATAGATGACTAGGCCCTGATAGTTCACGATGCTACACCTGGCCATTTCATTAACACGCCCGCAGGGGCCTGTTCCAACCATCTCGCAGTCAATTGCCACATACTTGGCAGGATTACAGCAGATGGGTGACGGACTTGTCTGGCACAGGAGTGCAGCTTGCGGCAGCCCATAAAGGTTCTCAGGGTTCAGCAGATTCGTCCTTTCTAAAGGACAAGTTTTACTGCTCTGGTCCATGGATTTCGAAGAGCAAGTAGAGCGAACATCTCTCCTTTCAGCTTCAGGCCATGGACTGGAAGCACCAAACAGATGGGAGTGATTTCCATTCGCATCAGAACCACCTGGTCGCTTGGCGTCTCCAGACTGACGTGTACAGTTAGGGTTACTGATGCTTGGACAGCTTGTTTGGTCCAAAGGTCGCCACTTCCTTTTGATCAGACCCTGCTTGAGGATCCCTTCCTTCTCCAGGAAAGCCTTCCTCTCTAGGAAGCGCGCATGCCTCCGGCTCGGTATCTTCTTGCGCTTGGTCTGGCCATCGGGGTTTGCAGCCACAGGTAAGCAGCAGAGGAACTGGTTTGACCTGGAAGATCCAGGGAGCAGCCTGAAATCTGAGACTTCAGAAGAGGGTACAGCAGGGTCTATACACATACTAACTACACTTGGCATCCTTTAGTCCAAATGGAGACTTCTTGGAATCTGCAAAATCAACACAAGTCCTTTAAATTAAGTGGAGACTCCTAGTAATAACAAGTTATCAGTCCCCTGGGTTTAGAAGGAAACAGTCAGTGCATATTAAAGAATCTCAGCACAGGTAAATTGAATATTTTTCATCATCAGGCTCTCCAGATAGTGATTTAGAGTTCACTAATTTGTTGCCAGAACTTTCACATTATTACCAGGCAAGAAGCTTAGGTTTTATTTGTGGATTTTAGTACATAGTCCACACTGACACATGAGTGAAGTACTGTGAGTGCTAAATTGTCAGAAATACCTTCTTCACCCCATCACCCCCACCGCCTGTTCAGACGAAAGAATCATGTGGCATTATTTAAGGGCAGGGGACAGAAACATACACACTACTTATTATCTGTCAAACAATACAATCAAAAACATTAACTGGTCATTTCCCCCAGTGATTATTATGCAACTTTTTTGTATTCATTCATGAGTTGTGGGTGTCACTGGCTAGACAAGTATCTGGCTGCCCAACCCAAACATTCCTTGAGAAGATAGTGGAAAGGCACTGTCTAGATATGTGCAAGTCATAGCTGAGTAGATACATCCAAAATGCTGCATTAGAAGGAGTACTTAGGGTTTTGACCTGACTCTGTTTGACAATATTTAAAATGTGAATCACAGCAGAGGGGCTGGCATTTATACACCATCTTTTTGAGAAACTCACGACAGTGCCTGCCCTCTCGGTGCTGACCCCCCCGACAGTGCGGCACTCCTTCTACACTGACCAGGAGAAAGCCATTCGGCCCCTTGAGCCACTTCCATCATTTAATAAGATGCTGTTTGATCTGTGACCTGAATCCATTGGCCCACATCCCTCAGTACCTTTTGGGGGGAAAAAAAAAATCTATCACAGACATAAAATTAAAACCTGATGCGACATCCAATGCCGTATTTGTGGAAGAGAGCTGCAAACCTCTACCACCCTCAGAGTGTGGAAGTACTTCGCGAAATCTCTCCTCAAGAGTCTGGCCCTTACTGTCAGGCTATGCCCTCTCGAAAAGGAAGGGTCACTGGACCTGAAACGTTAACTCTGGTTTCTCTTCACAGATGCTGCCAGGCCTGCTGAGCTTTTCCAGCAACTTCTGTCTTTAATTCCCTCTCGAAAATAACTTATTTCTATGTACCCTGCCACTTCTGTTAATAATTGATTTGTTTTTTTTTTAATCCACGCTGTCATTTCCCGATCTTGATCAGATCATCCTTTAACTTTGTAAATTCAGGAGAGAGACAGGCCTCTGCTCCTAAATTAACCCTTCAGCCTTACCGTACCTCCGGGACCGGGATTATGAACCGTGAACCCTGAAGACTCAGAGGCGTGAGTTGGCGTACAGCAGGCCCCACTGGTAGCCGGCAGCTCCCCCTCCCGAGCAAACAGCCGGTGTCAACACCAAGCCCCAGGCTCCCTCAAACACCACTCCACCGGCTCCGGGTTCTGCCACGTGCTTTCCAGGCCCCGCCCGCTCATTGGTTTAAGGCCTCCATTCGCCGATTGGCCCCTCCGAAAAACCGAACGCCGATTGGCCGCGGTGCCACAGTCGCTGCACGGTGATTGGCTATCTCTCAATCCCGCCTTCCGATTGGACGCCGCGCCAAGGTTACTGAATACTGAATGGTCTTCCCTGATTAACCGCGGCGCCGCCGCAGCTGCATGCTGGTTGGTTACCCCGCAATTCCGCTCTCCGATTGGTCTCCGTGTCACGGCTACTGCGCACTGATTGGGTACCACTCGATACCGCTCTCTGATTGGACGCCGTGTCCCGCCCAGTTGATTGGTAAATACATCTCAGCTCAGCGCACGGCCGGTGTGGAGACGTCACGCCGGGTGCTCTCTGATTGGCTGCGCTGAATGTCCTGGCTCCTCATTGGCTGCTGTTCACCGTCGTCGTCAGGTTCGTTACGTCAGACGTGGATTTTTTTGAGTCCTTGTGGTCAGGGAGTGGGTGGAAAGGCCAGCATTTACTGTCCGTCTCTAATTGTTTAATAGTCAGTCACATTGTTGTGGGTCTGGAGTCAAGTATTGGCCAGATCAGGTAAGGGTGGCAGATTTCCTTCCCTAAAGCGCATTAGTGAACCAGATGGGATTTACCTGACAGTGGTTTCATTGTCATCATTAAATTCTGAATTCCAGATCCCTTTTTATTTCATTCAACATCAGACGTGATGGGATTCGAACCCAGGGCTCCAGAGCATGACCTTGATGTCTGGATTAACAGTCCAGCGATAATACCACAAGGTCATAGGATCATGGCTGATCCATGACCTATATCCATATAGCTGCCTTTTGCCAATATCCTTTAATATCTCGTTGGGGGAATTTTTTTTGAAGTGTACGAAGGGGCAAGAGGGGAAATCAGAGAGGCACCTGAGCTGCACAAAGCGCCACCAGCGGCTGGAGGTCACATGGGGTGGGAACTGGCTTTGGGGTCACACAGGGAGCTGAGGGCAGGTTTGGGGGTCAGATCAAGGGCAGCTTTGGTGTCATGTAGGTGCTGAGGGTAGCTTTGAGGGTCAGGCCAGGGACAGTGACTGTAAAGTCTTAGTCAGTCCTTCTGAGGTTGAGAGATCCACTCCAGAGTTGCAGGTCATGAGGTGATTCACAGCCCAGTGCTGGATCTGCACACCTTACCATGGCAGGGTCATCCGAGTGTTTGAAGAAGCCGGCAGGATGCTCAGATTTTCACAAGCTCCCTCCACTGTCTGGGCTTGTTGGAAACACTCGAGACCGTAAACACATTCTTGGATGATTCTCCCGCTGGATTGAGAGAGTCCCATGGAGATGCCATTGTTTAGTTCTGAAGAAGGGTCATGTCAGACTCAAAATAGTAACTCTTGTTTCTGTCTCAACAGATAATGCCCTAGATCTGCTGAGTTTCTCCAGGATTTTCCATTTTTATTTCAGATTTACAACATCTCCAGTATTTTGCTTTCATTTAGTAGAGATGCTCATTCAGAGAGCTGGCACTGTAACAATTCTGTGATTCAGTGACAAAAACATCAAGCAGACTGCAGTCTTTTGTACCTGAATTGCTGATTGAAACTCTGTTAACATTGATTTCTGCACCAAAAAAAGGTCTAATTTATAAGACCATAAGAAATAGGAACAGGACTAGGCCGTTCAGCCTATCAAGCCTGGTCCACCATTCAGTTGGACCATGGCTCATCCAACACTCCTCATGTCCATTTTCCTGCCCTCTCCTCATAATCCTACTGATCCGTTCGCTTAACAGTTGATAGCTGTCTTCGGCAAGGAGTTCCAAAGACCCTCTAAGTGAAGAAATTCTTCCTCATCTCGGTAATAAATTGGCATCTATTAATTTTGAGACTATGCCCATTTCTCCTAGACTCTGCTATAAGGGGAAACATCCTCTCAGCATTTACCCTGTCAAAAAGATTTACAAAAAAAGGATGTTACTGGGACTGGAGGTTTTGAGTTATAAGGACAGGCTGGATAGAATAGGAGTTTTTTTTTCCTGGAGCATGGGAGGCTGAGAGGTGACCTTATAGTGGTTATAAAATCATGAGGGGCATTGATAAGTTGGATAGCAAAGGTCTTTACTCTAGGGAAGGGGAGTTCAAAAGTAGAGGCCATAATTTTAAGGTGAGAGGAGAAAGATTTAAAAGGGACTTGAGGGGCAACTTTTTCACACAGAAGGTGGTTCAAATCCCAAACTGTCGTGAAGTGGTAGATGCAGGTGCAGTTACAACATTTAAAAGACATTTAGACAGGAACATGAATGGGAAAGGTTTAGAGGGATAAGTGCCAAACGCAGGCAAATAGTACAAGTTTACTTTGGGAAATGTAGTCGACATGGACAAGTCGGACCGAAGGGTCTCTTTCTGTACTGTATGACTATAAAATTCCCTTTATTTCCCATCACAATGGAAGTAGGCCATTCAGCCTTTGAACACGCTCTGCTATTCAGTTGGATTTGTGTTGACCCGTGTGTCAACCTAATTTACTGCAATTTGATTCACATCCCTTACTGCAACAATCCAGGTACATTTTTATTTACTTCTCAAACGTCTTAGTGCCTATTGCTTACAACCAGTTCATATGAAGCAGTGGAACGCTAAAGATTTTGGACAGTAGATGTCACCATTGTACAGCTGGTACTGTAGATTATCCAGTCTTTCACATTCTAGCCTTTCTATTCACGCATTCTGTCTCAACACTGTACTCTGCAACACACAAACACACAAACATACAGTTCTTAATATTTTTCATTTCCCCTTGCGGTCTTGACGTTACAATTTTTGACAATTGCCTGGCTACAGGGTTTAAGACAGGGTGTACATCGGGGTCCAATAAACAGTTACAGGGGATTAAAAACGGTTAGAGAAAGAAGTAATACTCGGAAATGAGTGTAGTGATCACTTTGGAGCTCCATTTTAATGTGTGCAAGGTGAGTCAGACCACCATATGTCATTTGCAAATTTTACTAGTTTTCTCTTCTACAGGGCTGGCTGTGCTGGGACCGGGAACCCATGTTTTCTGTTTCTGCCCCTGCCTGGCTATATTTTATGCATTGGTCTGCCAACACTTTTTTTTTAAAGTGCATTCACTTGCATTGAAATAACACATTTAATGCAGTACAGCAAAATGTCTCAAACCGCTTCCCAGGTGTGTTATCGAACGGCATTCGACATAGCGTCACATACAGATATGTTAGGATAGGTGAGCAATAGTTTTGTTAAAGAGGCGGGCTTCAAGGAGTGTCTGAGAAGCAGAGAAAGATGTGGGTTTGTGGAAAGGTTTAGGGAGGGAAACCCAATGATTAGGGTCTAAGACATTCTCACCAATCATGAATGGATGGAAATCAGAGGTATGCAAGAGGTCAGAACTGGAGGAATGCAGACACCTCAGACAGCTGTGAAAATTCCCCTGATTAAATATTGCGAAGTCTGAAGCATTGTTTTCAGCTCTTGCTGCAAAATCCATTCCCTGATTAATGATCTGATCCTTTCTCTGGTGTGAGATTCAGCCCCTCTATTCACCAAACGAACAATTAAAGCCTGAAAAATACAACAGGTCAGGGAAATCTGCGGAGAAAAACAAGCGTTAATGTTTGAAGTCTGAGATGGTCCCAGATGTGAGATGTTAACTCTGTTTCTCTCTGCAGATGCTGTCTGACCCACTGAGCTGTTCCAGGTTTTGTTTTCAACTCCCTCAGTTTTTTCTCTTTGCATGCATGATGGACTAAATGGTATCTTCTGCATTGTAATAACTCAGTGATTCTGTGATGAAAAGCACCACCTAAATATTTCCTAATCAATCTGTGGAGAGGCTTTTAGTACACACCTCTGGAACAGGTGGGACTTAAACCCAGGTCTCCTGATACAGGGGTAAGGACACTCCACTGTGTCATAAGAGCCCTCCATGTGAGTGACACCACATAAATGAAAGTTTTTAATTTGTTTCAGTGGACTGATGTTGAATTGCCAATTGAAAGTGACAAATTTAGCACAGAGTTGGTGGTCTTTCTGGGCCAGATGGCTTGGATATCCACTGCCTTTGTTAACCTGACCACTGCCTTTGTTAACCTGAGCTTGTTTTTTTTTTCCCTTCCCCTGCAGAATTCCAACATCAGAGGTATCCCTTTCATCAGTATAGATACAAATATATTTTGGTCTACACCCAACACTGATTAAAAGTCTAACTTATTTTTCTCACACCCTCTATAAATTGCCTGGACGTTGACTTCTTAATTTAACTTTTTGCAACCTATGATATTCTATAAAAGGCACGCAACACCTTTTAACACCTGTAATGAGTTTTCCTTTGCTTTGTGAGTAATAGGGTTGGGTGCCTTTGTATGAGATATCACCACAGGTCTAATTGTAGATTGCTTTCAACAGTGTTGAAATAGTGTCTAATTACTGTTGTTTGGGATTCAGAACAGATAGAAATGAAATTTCAGTGACTCATAAATTTAAAATCTGATTCTATGCAGTCCGAGGGTCCCTGGAGTTCAGGTGTTGTAGTTATCCATACTTACAAGTGAAACAAAACCACACCATCTTCCTTTTTATGAATGGAAATTGAACATCTGAAATGATCAAACCATCCTTTTTGCATATTAACCATAAACATTTCATACAATTCTAAAACTGATATTTTTCTTTATGAAAGTATAATTCAGTCTTGCATTCAAAGTTCCAAAACAGCACAGATGTCAGTGAAGAGAAATTAAAAAGAATTACTTAAAACAAAGTATGAATTACTGATTTGGACTCTGCTAGAGGGCTCAGTTTCTGGTGCAGAGCCTTAAGATTAGACCCTCAGATCCATCATTGAGCAAACACATGTTATCTACCTGTATTCTTGAAGCCTTTAATTTCCATTCAGATCTGATCTAATCACTCCAGTTTACTAATTCAATGTAAACTGAAGAACAGAGCCTGCACAATCCCTAGTGCACCAGCATGTCAGCCTAGACATTTGTGCTCAAGTATCTGGGACGCATCTTGAAGCAGTCTTTTGACTCAAGGCAAAAGTAACTGGTACCCCAAACTCACAGCTGATAAACTAATGTAAAATATTCCAGACATTGGAAATCTGAATTGAAAATGCCAAAAATACTCAGTGGGACAGGCAATAGGATGGAGAGGGAAACAGGGTTAATATTTCACATCAATGATGAAAACTCACCCACCTGAAGTGTTAACCGACTTTCTTAGAAAATGGGATTTTTCAACATGCACGCCATTTATGGCCCATCCTAAGTTGCTCTTGAAAATGTGAACATAAACCATGTTATTGAACCACCGCAGTCTATGTGCTGAAGATACTTCTGCAAATCTGAGAGTTAGGGAATTCCGCAATATAGACACAGTAGTCACAAAGGAACAGGAAATATGCTACATAATTGTAAACAAACCAAAATCCCAACATACATCAGCACCTTCAGGAACACAAAAGAAAAAGTGGGAGATGGCGGATTGTAACATGGAATCTAGAAGCAAGAGAAAGCCATTCAATTTGATCATGGCTGATCCTTCATTCAATTACTATTTTCCTAAACTCTGCCCATTCACCTTAATGTCTTTAAAATCTAAAAATCCAACTCTTGTGCACCAAATGGAAAATGTTTACAATGAGAAACCCAGACTGACATTTCAGTGCAGTATTGAGGGAGTGCTGCATCGTGTTTGAGGACCATTCTTTGGATGAAACATTGCTGAGGCCTTAGCTCCTAGTACACATGAATGTAAAAGATCCCATGTCACTATTTTGGAAGAAAACAGGGTGCTTTCCCCAGTGTCCTGCCAATATTTATTCCTCAATCAATATCACAAAAAAACCTTATCTGGATGTTGACATGTTGCTGTTTGTATGAGTTTGCTGTGTGCAAATTGGTTTTTGCAATTTCTGCATGATGACAGTCTTCGAAAATAAGGCCCCTTTAACAAAAACAGCTCCAAAGTTGGTTGAGAGCAGGTGATGCTCATTGGACATTTTATTTAAGAGTTGAATTTTCCACTTCAAATTTTTTTTTGATTTACCTGCTTCTGTCTTTCTCCTTTGATGGTCTGCATTGCCCTAAACAGGCTTTGAATGTAAATTAATCAATTGGAACACACAGGTGATTTACTGGTGGTGGGTTAACACATGGAAAAATATAGCGAGCAATTCAGTGATAGGAAAGAAAAAGTTCATTTGTATATGAGAGTGCTTCTGGATGTAAAAGAAAGAAAAAGAGTTGAAATCTTCATTGCGCATGTTGGGCTTTGCGTGTAATTTGATTCGTTAGAAATGGATGATTTATTGATGGTGGATAATAGAGGAAAAGTACCATGGATGATTTGGTGGTAGGAAAAAAAAAGCTGGATTCCTCCCCACTGGGGTCTTGGTTTCTGGACCGGGAAAGTAGGGAAAGATGTGTTTGTACTAAGCTTTGCATTTACGATGAAGCCCTTTTGCTACACCTTTATCAACATATGGATATTGACTTGTTAAACACATAGCAACACTGACTACACTTCATACCCTACCTTGAGAAACCCCTTATTCGTGAACATCCAAGAATCTGTGATTCCAGGTTGGACCTGCCAAGTCACCTGAGCACACACAAATCATGATGCCCAGCAGACATGGGACTCACTTCAAGGGACTGACAATGACAAAAATATTAATGAGAGAGAAGTATATCTCTGGTGGCAGAATCTAGGGAACAAAGAGACATAATCTTAAAATAAGAACGTGGCCATTCAGGAATAAATTAATTGAGGGGATGGTGAGATTGTGCTGTGAGGAAAGATTAAATTGACAGGGCCTTTATTCTCTCAAGTTTAGAAGGATGAAAAGCGATCTTCATTCAAAGTTATTACAGGATTCTGTTGTATGTGAAGTTAATTTAAATCTGCACCAGTGCTCACAATTTCGTACTTGGAGTGAAGCTGAGTCTGCATCTCACCATGTGGTAAATTCTTCACCACCATCTTCTTTTAAGAATAAGTATCTACTTAGTCTAATTTGGTTGAGGAAAAACGTTTCCCAATCCACCTAGAAGAGGCTCTTGTATTGAACAAGAACTAGCTTAGAGCATATTAAGCAACTAATTACGAGTTACATTGATATGACAGACGTTGTTACAGAGACTACAAGGTTGCACCGAGATCTTAAGCTGTTCTTCCCACAAGTCCATTTGGCATCATTGTAATGAGTGGGCTTATAGCACCTCTCTGAATTAACCCTCTAATCAGACCCTATACAACAGGCTCAACAAGGTAAATGCAGTATTTTCCCTCTGACTGTTAGGTCTAGAATCAAGGGTCACAGTCTCAGAATAAGGGACAGGACATTTTGGACAGAGATGAGGGGGAATTCTTTTACTCAGAGGTAAATCTTTGAAATTAGTTGCCACAGGAATTGTGGAGGATCAGCCATCGAGTATGTTCAAGACAAGATGCGTGGATTTTTGGAGAAAAATGATGTCAGTGAATTTTGTGCAGGAAAATGTTGAAGCTGATCAGCCATGAATATTGAATGGTGGAGTGGACTTAAGCAGCTGAATGGCCTACTTCTCTTGTTTATTGTGTTTTAAGTAGAGAAACAGAATAGACCAGACAGCCCATCAAATAAGTGCTTTTTCATGCAAAGTTAGTTAAAATCTAGAACACTCCCATCCTCAGGATGTGAATGTTAAAGATCAAACTGAATGCTGAAGGGTGAAATTATTTTTTTTATGAGGTAAGATTATTGAGGTACATGGGTTAAATGGAAAGCCAGGTATGGATCAGTCAAGCCAAACAGCCTTGGAAGGGGATGATTGGCCTCCCCCGGTTTCCACAACCACTTCCTAGATTCACTTGAAACTTGTCAAGTGCCCGCCTTCTCCAGCTGCCATTGGGTGAATTTCCCACTGTCAATCAAGTCCTAGCTTCGGGGATTGGTCAGTTTCACCGTCGATCAATGCACCTTTGCTCCGCCCTGCCTTTGTTGACAGGCGAGGCCCCGCCCAGCAGGTAGTTTCAGTCTCCCCTCAATTGTACCCATTCGCTGATACAAAGATACATTTCGATGGGACCTTCCTGCACTGAGTGCTCAGCGCTAGCCGTAAGTAGCAGTTTTAATAGAAAACAAGAGTATTTAAAACCTGTTCATTTTATTTTAATTCAAGGCGAATCAAAAGATTTTTTTTTGGAGGGGTGGAACCAATCCCTGTCAGTTACGTCGCTGTACTCTCAGATGGGCAACCAGAGATTTTAGTCCCTGAGGCTGTGGTTTCAGGTTTATTCTTTAATCTTACGGCTCCAGCAAGTAATGTCATTCGATTAGATTTATAGGTTTATTTAGGATGTAGGGAGGGAATGTGCAGGGGTTTAACGCGGTGATTTTCTTTGTTTAATTTTTAACTCATTCGAAGTTTCTTACCCCGGATACTGCCTTTTGATCATTCAAGTCTTGTCCATATGATTTAATATCGATATGGTCATGGTTACTGGGGAAAAGTGAAGTTACTGCTGTTTAGGAAGAGCTAGGATTATGGTAATCGAAAATAAATTAAATATTCCCATTTTTGCAAAACAGCTATGTAACCGCCAAAATGGGTGTGTTTGAGAAATATACAGTATAAACGACGTGGAAAGTGTCATTCCGCAGGGGGCCTATCATATTGCTTCAGTGACAATTTACTTATCTCTGACCGCTTGGTCAGGAGGTCGGAGCTGAAATAGTTACTGAAATTTTGTTCGTAATACCTACGGTGTGAACTCTGGTGGACATTGCATGTATCTTTTACACAGAAGACCCTAGGGTGGATGCTGAAAAGATGTTACCCCCGGTGGGAGAGACCAGAACCGGGGAGATACAGATTTAAAAAAAACTCCCATTTAACATGAAGATGAGATATTCTGCCCCCTCATTAGTCGTGAAATTCTCTTCCCCATAAAGCAGTAGAAGCATGGTTACTGAAGTTATTCAAAGCAGAGTTAAATTTTTGATGGGGGCAAAAAGAACGGTAAAGTTGAGACCGCAACCGGACCTGCCATGATCTTTACGGATGGTCGAGCAGGCTAGAGGGGCTGAATAGCGTTCGCCTTTTCTTATTTTATACGTATGTGCCTACGAATCGTTGAGGATGGGAATGCCAGTCATGGTTGAATAGCATGTTGACAATCAGATTTTCGACTCCCGCGTGAAGAGTGAGAAACCAGGCTGTGGTTGTGGAAGGGTTGTCACTAACTGAAAACATACTCCAGTGCCATCAATGTCTGCAGGATAGCAGAACAGTAGACACCCACCGAATGTTGTGCCTTCACCAAAAAAAATACTTTCAGAACACCTTGAAAAGGGTTTCATCTCTGACGCCCAATCCTTGGGGATATGAGTTAATCTCTAATGTAGTCCGAGTAGAGATTGAGGATTTATTTATTATCTTTCAATTAAGCAGGTTAGTGAGTTCCAGGGGATCAGCTAATTTTCTGTATTTTTTTAAAGAAAGTATGTTTGTAGAGAACTCTTCACAGTCCGACTGTTGTTCACTGGTTGAGTCAATGATAGGCTCACGTTCCATGGAATAGAATCATCACAACGCAGATTTGACCTTTTGTGCCCCCTGCTGGTTCTGCGAATGTGCAGTTAACTTGATTCCCCCTTCCTATCTCCATTCACGTTTTCATTCCTCAGATATTTAGACAAATCTACAGAGAGGCACTCTGCCCACTGTGTGCGCCAGAGGAAAGCTTAATCCCACTTTCCAGCACTTGGAATGTATGCCCGGAAATTGTGGGTTTCAGATGTGTATCCTGGACCTTTTTAAATGAGTTGAGTGTTCCTGACTCCACTCCAGGCAGCGAGTTCCAGACCCCTGCCACCCTCTGGATGAAAACGGATTCCTTGTTCTCCCTCTAATCCTACCGATCACTTTAAACTTGTGCGCTCTAGTACTGCAGTCAGTGCTGACTCTCCTACTTGCTGATGATAACATGATGATTGCCTATTCAGGTGGATATTGACGACTCCATTTAGGTGTTTGAAGCTGGGCTTTCCTGAAGACCTGGCTATAATCCGTCACTGTGCAGCAGAAACAGGGACAACATTCATTTCATTACTGTCTGCATGTTTGTGAGGTGCAAAAATAGCAGCTGCCTTTTTCTACATTGCACTTCAAAGTAGCTCGGTCTATGTGAAGTCTTTTGAAATGATTCCTAAAGATACAGAAAGCTGTAGGAATGCACGAATATCTTTGTTTCTAACAATCTCAGTACCTTGTACTCTTATCAGTTACAGTGATTTCCGGCTGTGATGCTGATATCTGTAACTAAAATATTCTAGCTGTCTGCCGAGGATATTGGTGCAATGGAGATGAAGCTGTGAGCTGGTTTGACTTAAGTATGTGGTCTTTTTAGATTGCAGTTGGATTATAAATGGTCACTGGTCATGTTTCAGGGACATGACTGAGATCCTGCCTAAAAAGTGAACATGAGATTACAAGGTGTAGAACTGGATGAACACAGCAGGCCAAGCAGCATCAGAGGAGCAGGAAAGCTGATGCTGCTTGGCCTGCTGTGTTCATCCAGCTCTACACCTTGTTATCTCAGATTCTCCAGCATCTGCAGTTCTTACTATCTCTAAAAAGGGAATATATTGCTTTTGCTCTTTGACAATGTTTTTTCTTTGGCTAATGTTATTCCCTGTCCATCTGGTGGACTTCATTCTTGCTGGCTCCACTGGCACTTTCTGGCCTCTGACACTTCACCTAGATTGTCACGCTTCATTTTATTTGGAATCCAGGACAGAGAGTGTGGGCACATTATCTGGTCATATTGGCATCTGCAAAAACAATTTATACAGTGCCTCTGATGAAATGAGACATCCCAAGACTCTTCACAGGACAATTATAAAACAAAGCAACACTATAAAACATAGCATTATGAAGTAAGGGGAAGCAGTCACGTAGTTAAAATCGCTGGACTAGCAATCCAGAACACCAGGCCAACGTTCTGGGGCCACCAGCTCCCATCATAATAACAGGCGGTGAAATTTGAATTTGGTAAATTCTGAAGAGATGGTCTAACAGGCACCACTGTCAATTGCCATAAGGACCCATCTGGTTCACTATTGTCCTTTTTTATTAAAGGAAATTTGTCATCCTAACCTGGTCAGGCCTGCATGTGGCTCTTTGACTATTAACTGTCCTTTGGGCAATAAATTTTGGCCCAGCTAGTGATGCTCACATCCCATGAACGAATATTCAAACAGCAAAATTAGGAACCTTAAGGCAATATTAGGTCAGATGGCTGAAAGCTTGGTCAAATTCTTAAGAATGGCCTTAAAGAAGGAAGATAGAGAGATGGAGAAGTAAAATAAGGGAATTCTCGAGCTTGGGATGCAACCCCCAATGGTGGAGTGATTTAAAATTTGGAACATGCATGAAGCCAGAATTAGGTGAGTGCAGACACCCCAGAGCCTTGTGAGGCTGGAAGAGATGGGGAGGGGAGAGGCTGGGTTTCGGCAGTCAGGAGTGTGCAATTTAAAAGCAAGGCCAAGGCTAATTCTGGCATTGCCCAATCTCTGCATAGCACACATTCCAGCAAGTTTCCTATGTATGGAATGAAAACCCTGGCTGACATTTTGTGTTTCTCAGTAAATTGAGGATAATCAAAGCTACATAGTAGCATGTTTACCATTATTGAATTGGGTTGACTTGGTACATCTGCAAACTGTAGCTGGTATGTTGGCTCAGGATTGCACTAAGTGATGTTTAAATCAGCAATATTTTACTGAATCCATTGCTTACATTTAATAAATCAAGTGTGGTGAGAGTTGGCTCAGGATTGCACTAGATGATGTTTAAATCAGCAGTATTTTAATTAATCAATCGCTTAAATTTAATAAATTAAGTGTGGTGAGATTCATGAAATCATACAGAATAGTAAAGGTCCTTTGGCCCATGTGGTCTTTAACTTTTTTATTTCAAAAATATTCTTCATTCATAAAAAAACTTTGTGCATATATACATAGTCATAAATGGAAGAAAACAAATATTGGAGTTTGACTCTATTCAAAAACCAAAGACCTCTTACAGATACAAGACTATATTTACATACATTAATGCCAAAGCTACGCTTGACCCAATTTTCAGCATTAGGCCCACAGCTTTGAATGTTATATTTAGAATGCTCATCCAAGTACTTTTTTAAGGCTGTGACAATATGGATGCAGATCATTCCATTGATATTAGTTCAAATTTGCACTTTGTTCCTGATGGTAATCTTGGATGAACGACAGGCTAAGCTTATTGTAAGCAATAACATTGTTTGAAATACTACAAAGGGCCCTCATCAGTGTCTTAAGCTGTTGATTGAATTGTAATTCACTTTGCAAATTAAATCTAATCTTTCTGTAGATAATAGTTTTTACCCTCTGGAGGGACCACCTGGGATGCTTACAGGTTTAGCGAAAGATGGTCCTGATTTTACCCTTCAACTCCTGGCAAGTCCATAGAAATTTTGAAATCCAGAGTTTGCTAATTTCGTTGGTTCCCAGCTTGTCCACTGCTGAAATACTGCCCTAAAGATTGAGCACATTTTGAGGGAGTGCAGAGGCAGATGCATTTTGTGATCAGGATCATATTTAACAAAAACCACAATCAACAAATAACACAATCAACTACAAATGTAGCCAAAAAAATTCTTGGTGGGAAGAATTTGGAAAGTGAACAAGTACTGTGAAGGAAAATGGTCAAAAGCAAAGTTAAATAACTGGACTTCATGGAATTTTGAAGTTGGGCAGATGACGGAGTTTAAGGGACATGATGACTGAATGTTGAGATACTACTTATTGTGTATAGGAAAAGGAGAAGGTCATTCATTCATTATACGTTCTTCTGCCATTCAGCTGGATCAGAACTGATTTGTATCCTAACTCAATCTAGGGCCTCAGTTCCAGATCTCACGGTGCGCTTGCCTGACAAAAATCTACCAATCTGTTTCAAAACTTTAAATCTAACTAGCCTGGATAGCTATTTAAGGAGGGAGCCCCAGAATTTCACTATCTTTTGTGTGAGGAAGTGTTTCTTACATCACCCAAAACAACTGTATGTCCTCTTGTAT